CCCCAAAACCCCAAATCCTCCCCCTAAAAAACCAGAAGTTCTCCCCAAAACACCAAATTTCCCCCCCAAACCCCCAAATTCCCCCCAATTTCCCAAATTCCACCCCAAAACTCAGGAGATCCCCTGCAAAAAACCAGTGACCCCTCCCAAGAAACCCCCCAAAATTGCAACTCCCTTCCTCAAAAATCACCAAAAAGCTGAGAACATAAATTTTTTATTTCACATTTTTCACACTTTGGGTAGGGGGGGAAACCCCAGATTTCCTGGGATTTTTCCCATTTTTTTGGGGATGGGAGTGCCCCCAACTTTTCCAGCACCCTTGGCGACACCTCTCCAAAATTCCTGCCCCAGTCCCCCCAAATTAAATGCACATAAATAAAAAGAGGGGAAAAAAAGGGAAAAAAGGTAAAAATAAAAAAAAAAAAGAAAAAAAAGACCACCCCCACCCCATTTTGGGGAAAGGGGGACAGAGGAAAAATTGAGGGAGGGGGTGATTCCCCCCAAAGAAATTGAGGGACCCCTCAAAAAAATTGTGGGAACCCTCTCCAAAAAAAGCCCACTTTGAAGAATGCCAAAGCCACCAAAAAATAGAAAAAAAAACCCAAGAAAAAACCAAAAAACAAAAAAGGATAAAATTTGGGGGAGAACCCCCAAAAAATGTGACAAAAATGGGGGAACCCCTCCTTGAATCCAAAGAATTTTTTAATTTTTTTTTTTTCCCAAAAGCAGCAGGTTCTTGGGAGTGGCAGGGGAGGAGAGACCCCCTCCAAATTCCTGGGGCTGTCCCTGAGATCCAGCCGAGGCACCTGGTCCTGGAGCGGGACAAAAAGGGCATTTTAAGGAAATTAAAGGAATTTTGGGGGACTTGGGTGAATTTTAGGGAATTTTGGGGGGCTCTGGGGGCAGGTCTCAATTTTGTGGGGTCTTGCGTTCCGGGGCCACAACATCATGTCCACGGAGGCCACATTTACCAGGAACCAGTCGGGGACACCAACGAGATGGGATTCTGCTCAGGAAACCATTTATTCAGCTCAGGAACAAACTCAGATCCAGAGACAGCCCCAAACAGAGGCAGGGAGATGGGGTTTGAGAACCAGGGTGGAGTTCAAGGTCAGGGACCACTGGGAACACAGCAAGGGAAAAACCCCAGGGGCCCAAACCCAATCAGAAATCCCTGGGCTGTCACCTCACGAGGGGCCCAGGATGGAGTTTCTTCCTGGGCTCGCAGGGCCCAAGCTTCGAGGCAGAGGCTTCCCTTACCAGTGCCTCTGTTGCTGTTGGGTCAAGTTAGAGATCTGGGTGAAGCTCTTCCCACACTGGGGACACTTGTAGGGCCATCTCCAGCGTGGATACGCCGGTGCCTGACAAGGGTGGAGTTGTACTTGAACCCCTTCCTGCAGTCAGGGCAGCGGAAGGGCCTCTCATCCGTGTGAATCCGCTGGTGCACGAGGAGAGTGGAGCTCCTCTGAAACCTCTTCCCACACTCGGGACACTCGTAGGGCCTCTCCCCAGAGTGGATTCGCTGGTGGATGATGAGGTGGGACCTCCAGCTGAAGCCCTTCCCACATTGCCCACACTCGTAGGGCCATTCCCCAGTGTGGATGCGCTGGTGGATGATGAGGTGGGAGTTTCGCTTGAAGCCCTTCCTGCAGTAGGGGCAGCGGAAGGGCCTCTCATCCGTGTGAATCCGCTGGTGCTTGAGGAGATGGGAGCTGCTCTGAAACCTCTTCCCACACTCAGAACACTCATAGGGCCTCTCCCCAGTGTGGATGCGCTGGTGGATGATGAGTTCGGAGTTGCAGCTGAAGCCCTTCCCACATTCCCCACACTCGTAGGCCCATTCCCCAGTGTGGATCATCTGGTGGCGGATCAGGAATGAGATCTGGCTGAAGCTCTTCCCACACTCCAAGCACTTGTAGGGCTTCTCCCCATCCTGAAGCTGCTCATGGACCACCAGCTCAGAGCCCTGGCTGGATCTCCAGCCGCCTTCCAGGCACAGGGTGGGTCTTTCCTCCTCAGAGCACCCTGGGATGGCTTTGGAGCCCCTCCTCCTGCGGGATCTCTGGGGATTTTCCTCCCTGTTGGATTCCTGAGCCATGGAGCTGCTCAAAACAGCCTCTTCCATGAGGATCTGCCGTGGGGATTTGTCCTCCCTGGTCTCCATCCTCAGCTCCTTGTC